CTTGTATGAGCTGAGTGGCAGTCACACCTTAAACCCTTCCAGTTCCTGGAGCTTTCTTCTAATATCGCCCTGAGCCTAAGAGGCTGCGTTCACCATGCACGGACTTCTGCCTCTGGATCAAACGGAGTGTGGAGTCGGTATGCCTCACAGAGCCTTTCACAGAACTCACCTGGGCCTTCATCTGCCTTCTCACCAACCTCGGAAATCGTCCCCATATTCAGGGCCTTCTTCCCTCCGGCCTTGATTCCATTTAGAAGGGCCTCCCTAAATGCTCTCAGGTGTTGTCATCCTTCTGCCTCACTGGGGTCCCACTGGGGATCTGTCATCAGGTAATGTTCCATGGCATATTGGCGGGCATCAACCGTGCCTGCTGGGGCATTGCCCTCCAGGTATTGGAGCGTTGCCTGGGCTACTCTGTGCCGCTCCTCTGTTAACGGGCAGCGTGAACAGGAGCTCCTGGCAGTCTGCCTATGTAGGGTTGTGAGTCAAGAAGATAGACGGCATTAGATCAGTAATGGCTTGGGGCTTCTCCGTGTAGGAGGGGGTGTGTTGTTTCCAGTTTGGGAGGTCAGTGGTGGAGGGCTCGTGGGTAAAGAGCCTTTCCCCACCTCTGACTTGGCCATCAGAATCCTGGTAAAGTGACCTGGTCTCCCAGAGGGGCATCTGCAAGGCTTGGGTGCGGCCGGGCTGGAGTCTACGAGAACTGTGTCTTCCTGTTTCCTTGGTTTCTGTGGGTATGTATTTCCATTCCTTGCCAAGGGGTGGCGCAGCCTGCTTCTCCAGCTGCTTTTCCTTTCTTTCACCTTGCCTCAGATTAGCCAAAGATGGTTATATTGGTACATAAGGGGGTGGGCATTCTCTCTCCTCTGGATGGGCTTGTAGGACTGGTTTTTCTTGTCTTTCCTGCTTCCCCTCTCCTGCTTTCTGGGTGAGGGGCACTGTGGTTTCCTTTACTGCCTAGGGTTCAGCCAGCGCTACTAAAGTCTTACAGTACACTGATAGGGATGGAGCCACTTGGGGTTTAATTGTATTACATTTAGCCAGGAGTGAATGTATGGGTACTGATCAGGATGTCCAGATTGTCCTCCGACCCCAGTCACTACCTAATACATACGGTCAACCACTTCACAATCTATTGTCCCTTCGGCTGGCCACCCAACATTGAAAGAGGGCCATTCCAATTCACAGTTCTTAGCCTTTGAGGTGTTAGTTTAACCCCGTAATCTCCTCCAAAACCTTTCTTAAAGTTACTCAGCACGCACTCCAGTGGAGTTGGTTTCAATGCTTTTCCTCCCATCTCCCTTGCGGCACGCTACCACCCAGCCTTTTGTTCTGGACAGGCCAAATCAGGTCCCGCTACAGGAGTTTCAGGCACTGCTTAGTCAGGGAGAGCGCCTTAATCCCTCCACGACAGCTGCAGTCCTAGTGCAGCTCCTATGGCTGTACGCGGAATCGCCCTAGATCTGGTCGGTCCTATGCTTACCTCAGAGCGCACAGTCCACCCTAAGGGACCTGCGTCCCTCACGTCACTACCCGCGTTGGTTCCTCTGGGAACCATCTCTTTCACACACTTTCACACACCTCCCCTTCCCAGTTTTTGCCTTTCCTTTTCTGTGTTGGTGGGTATGTGAGTTTCATCCGAATCAGTGAGCTGCTCTCTCCTCCCCCAGCCCTACTGGGTTGCATTAATCACTGAAGCTGATCAAGTTCCAGTTAGGTGAGTTTCACTTGAATCAGGTAGCCACTCTTGCTTCCCCTAGCCCTACTAGGTAGGGTCACTAGTCACTTCCCTAGAAGGTGACTGAAGCTCCAGAACTTTCCTTTTCTTTAAGCCCCAGATGTCTTACTGTGGTTCCTACAGCATGCTGATCCTAAAGTCATTCCGCAGCCTCTTCCCGGTTCCTCTGCACTGCCCAGGGAAGGCACCGGGACTTGGGAGAGCTGATCTTCTTGAGAGAAGCCTCCGGTTGGCACCTAGGTTCTCGGGTCTCCCTTGACTCGGGGCCCTGGCCTCACAGGCAAAGGAGATAGCAAGCCTGTCATCTCTAGTCCCAGATGAGTCCCCAGACATGTTGCAGAATTTTCGAGACTGGAGAGACCGTTGAGGTTGCAGAAGGAGTTTATTTTAGGAGTACACCGGCCCAGCTCAGATTCACATCCAAAATGGCTACATACCCCACAAAGACAGAGCTTGACTTTTTATACCTGAAGTATACAGTGGCACAAAAATAAGTTTGCAGGTGAGAACAAAGACAATTTATCAAGCAATGACAAGGCATGTAACCCAGGCTTACATTTAACTTTTGCTATGCAGCACAGATGCTTGCTGTCTGTAGAGCTCAAGGATTCCAGCACGGGCCTTACCTGTTGGCCTCCACTGCAGCACCTGGAAGGCTGGAGTCCAGCCTGCTCAGGCATTTCTTATGACCTTTGTTGTGTTACAGAAACTTAACAGTTATCAGCTATAGAGAAAAGAATACAAGAATTTATAAACTTGAAAAACTTGCAAGGCAGGATGCATTCCACAGGAGGGGGAAGGACTCAGGGAAGTTTGCTTGTATAAGAAAAATTTAATTTCTGCTGCTCTTTCCTGTATCAATTTTTATATTATGTTTTATTAATTTTTCTTTTCCCTCTTCAATACCACTGTACTCCACCCTGGATGATAGCACAAGACCCTGTCTCAAAAATAAAATAAAAGGTAGCCTTCCTGCAGGAAGCTGCTGCACAGGCCTGACCCTTCCAGAAACAACTGGGCCCAGGAGGCAGTGTTCCAAGAGCAGCTCTGCCAACTGGAACTCAAGCCTAGCTCTGTACACACCAGCGATTTTCCAGCCAGCAGTGACTGTTGGGATCCCTAACACAGACAACCTGTGCTGGCCGCTGCAGTGTCGTATCCAGCTCTTAGTGGAGCCACACCAGGCTCCTTTGGACTCTCCCAGGGACTGCACTTGCCCCTGCCCCCAGGAGAATGTCCTTATCCTCTGTTTCACCCTCTCTCCCTCTTTCTCTTGTCCAGCCTCCTGTCTCAGTTTAGCAGTCCCATCCTTAACAACCCTTGTCCCATTCCTCCAACTAGGTGAGAACTTCGTCTTAGGTACTCCTGTGACAATGGATCCTACTTTTTTTTTTTTTTTTTTTTTTTTTTTTTTTTTT